GAGCAGCGCCTCGCCAGCGCCTCGCTCGCCCACGAAGCCGAGATCGCCCAAGTCCGCGCGCACGCCAAGAAGAAGATGGCCGCGGCCGCCAAGCACGAGGCCGCCCGTTTCAAGCGCGCCGCCAAGACCAAGGCGCGGGACGCCGCAGGGGCGGCGGCCGCGCAGGAGACGGTGCGGGCCGAGCTTGCTGCGATGCGCCGGGAGCTGGTCACGTTTCGGCCGGACCCGTTTGCGCGCGCCACGATTGAGGCGCTGAAGAGAGAGAAGGGGGAGCTCGTGGCGCGGATTGTCTTGGTGGAGGCGACGGCTGGTCCGTCGCCTCTCTTGGACGTCTCTGCGTCGCCGATAACGGCTCTGTTGGGGGCTCCGGTCTGTGCCTGAGGGGATTGGAGTGTATGGAGGTTGGATTGCTTGAGATGCGCTGGTCGCATGATTTTCACCTGGTTGTGGCTGGAAAGCAGTCGTGAGGGGATAGGTTAGCTGATTCAGGGTGCTTTATATCAATGGAATGACATCGGACACTTCGTTTCATGGTCTGAATTCATCTGTGAGAATCTGATCTCGATCATGGTGATGACTACGAAACACTGATCTCAAATGGAATTCCAGGTGACTGGACAACAGCAGGAAGTAGCATTTAGATGATGCAAGCAATCAAAACAGGCGATGGAAGACGTGTAGTCCAAGGATCCGACATGTTGTGCGGACACAGGATCAAAATCTGGGACATCTTTCTTGGTATCAGCAACCCCTCTAAATATCAAGTCCATCCACATGACCGAGGAAATCGCCCTTGGCGCCCCTCAACAGCTCCTCGACATCAATCTTGCCACCGGTGATGTACCGCTCGCTGACGCCAGCGTTGACCCTCTTAGACAGCAGCTCCCGCAGCTGCGCCCTCATGACGCCCATCTCGGCCTTGCTGACGCCGCGCGCGGCCTCCTGCTTCTTCTTGCGCTGGCTGCCGCGGCCGCCCCACTGGCCGCTCTTCTCGAGCTCTTCCGAGTCGTACTCTACGCCGAGCTCGTCGGCCGCCTTCTTGACCCAGTCGTCATCCTTGCCGCCCTTTTCCTTGGCTAGCACGGCATCGGCGAGCTTCTTGGCGAGGTCGACGCGCGGCTTGAGGCGCGAGGCGAGCTTGCGGTCAATGTCGACGGTGCGGATGAGGTACTTGTTCTTGCCGGCCTGCTCGTGGTGGACCTTGGCAGCGAGGCGGCGCGTCGGCGTCACCTCTTCGGGGGCGCAGAGGAGGATGCTGAGGCCCGAGGTGGCGGCACGGGCGGTACGGCCGGAGCGGTGGACGTACATGTCGGCGGCGCGAGGCACGTGGTAGTGGATGACCTGGTCGATGCCGGGAATGTCGAGACCGCGGGCGGCAACGTCGGTGGCGATGAGGATGGACGCCGTGCCCGGCTTGGTGGAGGTGAAACGCTCAACGGAGCGGAGTCGCGCCTTCTGCGGCATCTGAGAGTGGAGGGGCAGGGCGTTGAGGTTCAGGTTCGCCAGCATGGGTGTCAGGCGGCGGACGGTACTGATGGAGTTGGTGAAGACGAGGGATCGGCGGTTCGGGTTGAGGAGGATCAGCGCATACAGATAGAGATCCTGCAGAGGTCAGCAAAATGCTTCAGAAACACGACGGGCATAACTAACCTTTTCCATGGCGCCACACTCAATCATGCCTTCCTTCAAGCCCTCGGCCATCTGCGACACGGGGTTGACATCGACAAATTCGGGCTTCTCCTCTCGGAAGTTGAGTCGCTTCAAGAGATACTCCATTGACTCCTCTTCCGACATGAGGCCGAACTTACCCTTGCCGGCGAGCTTCTGCTGCAGACCCTTGTGGAAAGTGGCTGAGAAAACGAGCGTCTGGCGTGGTGACAGCGTCTGCTCGTCCTCGTCATCCTCCTCTGTGACGTTGCGGTCGAGAGCCTTGAAGATCTCCTCGGCTTCCTTGAAATGGCCTTCGCTGAGGATTCGATCCGCCTCATCAACGACGAGGTACTGGATCTTCTTGAAGGACTCCATGACGGCCGTGTTCGTACTCAAGACCTCCCACAGGCGACCAGGTGTACCGACGACAATATCAGCCTTGGCCAGCTGGCGCTGCTGTTTGTAGACGGAAAGACCACCGGTGACGGAGCAAACATAAGGCTGCTTGGACAAACCGGCACAGAGCTCCTTGATGTGGTTCATGATCTGGTGCGCCAACTCGCGCGTGGGCGAGATGATAAGGGCAAGAGGGGCCTTGGCCTCTGGCGCATCGTCCGTCTCCATGGCTGAGTCCTGCTCCTCGCCATTCTTCTCGAGCCACTTGTCGACAATGGGGATACCGAAGGCCAGGGTTTTTCCGGAACCTGTCGAAGCCTTGCCAATGACATCGTGTCCCGCTTGGATATGGGGAATGGCGGCAGACTGAATGGTGGTCGGCTTCGTGAACTTGAGGCGACGTATCGTGGCAATGGTGGCAGGCGAGAGGTTGAGGCCCATCCATTCCGACATGTCGAGGTCCTCTGTGTCGTCTTCCGCCTCTTCCAGAGTCGAGAAGACGTTGCTCTCCAGGGCGGCGTCTTTCTTGACGGGCTGGGCCTTGATCTTCTGTTCCAGCTTCTCCTTCTTCTTCTCCTGCTTCTCCCGTCTCTTGTCCTTCTTGTTCTTTGGCTTCTCGTCAGCGGTGTCGCCATTCTCGGCCGCCTTGGCCGCCTCCTCGCGAGGGTCGACGTCGGTCATGTTTGTCGCGTCGGTCAGGCCGGCCACCTTCTTGGCGCCCTTGGTAAGCTTCGCGGGCTTCGTGTCGACCGCGGGTTTCGTGTCGGCGGGGGCCTCGGCATCGCTGAAGCCTTGGAACTCGTCATCGTCCTTGTTCGCCTTGGCAGCGTCTTCGGTTTGCTTCTGGAGATCCTCTTCGACGGCGTGCTGCGGCATGTGAGCATATGCGCAGGAAGCAGGGTGGTACGAAATGGGAGGGAGAAAAGGCAAAGGGAAAAAGGCAACGTACAAACTCAATCTTGTCACCATTCCTGACGACATCGACACCCTCAATTGCCTCGAGAGCGTAGAAGCCCTCGGCATCGTCGAACATCTCGGGGACGTTGATCTTCTTCCATGGCAGCTTCTCGGCGGCGACAGCCTTGCGTTTCTTGGGGAGGGCCAGAGTCTTGGGGACGGCGAGCTTCTGGCGCTTCGGGGGGGCATCGACAGGGCCAGTCTTTGGTGCGGCCTTGCGCTTGTTCTTTTGTATAGGCGCCATGACGAGTGGAATGGCCGGTGTGAGGGTCAATGATCCGGTATTGGTGGGGGAGGGGGATTCAGCACGGCACAGGAAACTGAAGCTGGCTGCGACCTGCCAGAGCCAGAAAAAAAAAGTTCAAGGCCCTTCTTTTCTCCGAGCAATCCCCGGATCGCACCGACCACACCTTAAATCAGCCTTACTGCTGCCCCTCGTTCCAGCGCCTTCAGGCCTCGTCGTAGTCAGTTCAGGGCCTCCACCGAGCGCGCCCCGCCCTCTGCCCCTCCCCATTCTGCCCCTCCACCAAAAATTCTCGCGTGAGTCTTTTGCTGAGCTTCACCCAGCCTGCGGCACCAAGAGCTCACAACACAAACCACACCACACCCCTTGCCCCTCTCGCCCCTCCACATACCAACCTTTTCCCATACGAGCATCATGGGAAAGACGTCCAAGGACAAGCGTGATGCCTACTACCGGCTGGCCAAGGAGCAGGGCTGGCGAGCGAGAAGTGCCTTCAAGCTGCTACAGCTTGACGAGGGTGAGACAAGCCCGCAATCTTGCCCCAAATGAAGTGAGATCATTAACGAATGATTTGCAGAATTCGATCTCTTCCATGGTGTGACCCGTGTGGTCGACCTCTGCGCCGCCCCCGGCAGTTGGTCCCAGGTCCTCTCCCGCGTCCTCATCAAGGGCGAGAAGTTTGGCCGCACCGCGTGGCAGGACCGCGAGGCCAGCTTTCGCCAGCAGATGCTCAAGATCTTCCCCTCCGGCGCATCCGGTGTCGACCAGCCCATGACGACGCCAGCCAGTGCCACGAGCCCCAGGGACGACGTCAAGATTGTGTCGATCGATCTCCAGCCCATCTCCCCCCTCCCCGGCGTCGTGACCCTGCGGGCCGACATTACCCACCCCGCCACCGTCCCGCTCCTCCTCAAGGCTCTGGACCCAGACTACGACGCCACGAGCCAGAGCAAGAACGCAGCGCGCCCTGTCGACCTCGTCATCAGCGACGGTGCCCCCGACGTCACGGGTCTCCATGACCTCGACATCTACGTTCAGTCTCAGCTCCTCTTCGCCGCCCTGAACCTCGCCCTCTGCGTCCTCAAGCCCGGCGGCAAGTTCGTCGCCAAGATTTTCCGCGGACGCAACGTCGATGTCCTCTACGCTCAGCTCAAGGTCTTCTTCGAAAAGGTCATTGTCGCCAAGCCCCGCTCCTCACGCGCCAGCAGCGTCGAGGCCTTTATCGTCTGTATCAACTTCCAGCCGCCGCCCGGCTTCAAGGCGAGCCTCGAGAACCCACTCGGCGTCGGCCACCACGTGCCCGCCATGGTCGAGGAGCGCAAGGGCCAGCTGCCCGTCGTCGCCGACGCCTTGCACCAGAACCCCTCCACGGGTGTCTGGGACGGCGTGCCAACGGCGACGTCGGCCAGGCTCGGCTCGGACGTCATGGAAGTCGAGGCCTACGACGATGTTGACGAATCGTCCGACATGGACAAGAACATTCGATGGATCGCGCCCTTTATTGCCTGCGGCGACCTCTCGGCCTTCGACTCGGACGCCTCGTACCAGCTGCCCGAAGACCACGTCTCCCTCGACCCCGTCCAGCCCCCAACGGCACCCCCCTACAAGCGCGCCCTCGAGATGAGAAAGGTGGCCGGTGGCGCCTACGGCAAGACGACGATCAAGAGCTGAAAATCAGAACCCCATTTCATTCACAAGATGAGATGCATCTGCGCTCGCTACCGCCTGGTCGCTCCTACATATCCTACCTTTCTCATTGGGGCTTCGCCCGGACGCCGTCGCCCGTCGCCTGCATGATGAATAGCCCCTTGGTCGACTCGCTCCACTCGCGCGCCCCCAGCGTCTTTTCGTACATCCTGTTGCCCTGCAGCGACGACGATATAAGCAGCACGCGCCGCAGCTCCGGCCACGCCTGCAGCTCCTCGTGTAGACACTCCATCATCCAGTGGCCGAGCCGCTTGCCTTGGTGCGCGGGCAGGACGTACACATCGGTCAGGTAGCCGACGCTGACGTAGTCGGTCACAAGACGGCCAAAGCCAACCATTTGTGGGGTCGACTTGCCTGCGGACGAGATTAAGCGGATGGGGAGCATGGATGATGGGGGGAGGTATCATGCCAGGCAGAAAGCAACGGGACAAGGCAAGCACAGAAAGGGCGTGTACATACCGGCAATGGCAGATGTGGAGTCTGGTAGCGCGTACACGGCGATGCAGAGCGAGTGGTTGACCATCTTCCTGAGGGCCTCTTCCGGCAGGGCCTGCGACCACCACAAGACGTCCGAGTCGAGAGCCGCGTTGAGGGCGTCGAGCTGGACGAGGCTCCGGTTCGTCGATACCATGTACCCGTCGCGGTACCAGCTCCTCGCCACCTCGTCCGGCATGACGGTCTTGTCTGCGCCCATTTCTGTGGTGTATGATGCTATGCGATTCTGGTTATACGAGGACAAAAGAGGGAAATTCCAGTATCATGCCTTGCGTGACGGAGTTTTCCATTCTGGCCTCTTTTTTGAGTCAATTCAGACGTTCCTCCCATCTTATATACTCGGTGTTCACCCTGCTGATGAATCAGGAAAGTGTGACTCCTTCCCGTGGCATGTCATGGCCCACCCCCGCTTTACCTTTGGAGGTTGCGCCGCGCGCCAGAATCATGTACATCTTCGACCCCACACTCGCACTATAACATGCACCGGCCCGGGTTCTCGTCAGCACTCGGCCCCCCTCCGGGTCCCTGCGCGGTGACGACTCTCTACAGGAGGTCCGAAGGGCAAAGTCAGATTGTAGGGAAGAGACTTGGTCTGACGTTCCCTTCATTCGGGTGCCGTGCAAGCGTGATCGTCGTGATCGCCGTAGGCGCTTGTGGCACTGGCTCGCTCCCTCCTGCGACTTGGCGACCTTATTGAAAACGTCCCCCATCCTGACGTCTTCAACCACCCATTGTCTTCGTTACACTCAGGTGCGGAAATGGCTTTGCTCTGTATACCATCAACATAATTTACCCTATATCAAGCAAAACGTTCCTCAAAGCAACATGATCACCTTGTACCTTACCAAAGTGGGCGACAAGTCATGCAAGCGGTGGAGCACATACTAGATAGGCCCAGAATACCAGCACAATCCTCGACACGTCAGACCGTCACCCTCCTCGGGCCTTCAAATGTAGTTCGTGTGCTGTTTCGACTCTACAGTGAGCGCTGGTGACAACGTGACCACCAGTGAGCAACCTGGCATGGCAGATGGCAAAATGACAAGCCATCGTTGACGTGTGCAAATTCAGACAAACACAGAACCGCAAACAATGCCAGGGTAGCACGCAGCCTTGCAATCAAGTACTTTAGGCCTTGCAAGTACAGAAAGATCACGCCTCGAAAGACCTTCGTGGAGCACACAAGGACGAACAACAGTCTACAGACACAAGAAAAATCTCCGTTTCGTCAATAATGTGTGCATGCTAGTGGTACACGTGGGTAACATCCCACTTGTGCTTTTTTGCCCCTCCCATCCCTGTCCGTGACCACCAGACTGTCATCCCAGGTCCAAGCAGCAAGGGTGTATTAGTACAAAAGAAAGAGAAAAGTCCAGTGACTTGGCCGCAATGTCCACATGCTATCCGCTACATCTCCCGTCTCAGACGTGGCACGCACCTCAATGGCTGCCGCGTGCCCTCTTCGCACCTCCACCAGCCTCCCCGTCGCCCCTGGGACGTTTGGTCCCTGGCTGGAAGTCGTTGGCGCCCGGGTTCAAGGCGCCTCCCTGCTGGTGTCCGCCGCGGCCGCGACCTCGGCCGGAAAACCCTCCTCGCTCGTTCGGACCACCAGTCGACACACGTTGGCCGGGCGTTTGATACGTGCCACGGCCTCCTCGTCCGGCAGCACCGCCGCGACCGGGGACTGGGATTCCACTTCTGACCGTAGGTTGATTTGGCTGAGCCTGTCCTGTTGTTGTCGCTGTTGCGTTCGCAGTAGCAGCATTGGCGAACGGGTTCGCGGGGAGACTGGAGGCGTTGCCGCTGGCAGCAAAAGGATTTGCCGCGGCTGGTGTGGTTGTCGGCGCTTCGCCAGTGGTGGCGACTGCGGCCTTCTGGCCTGGTGGCTGAGGAATGCTGCTGGCAGCTGCCGTCACCGGCTTCTGTCCAGTCGCTGTCACATGTGCCGGTGGTGGCTTGCTCGGAGTGGCTATAGCAGAGTAAGTGGATGCACTGCTCAGTTGTGATGACTTGAGCTTACCAGAATTATTTGTTGGAGCAGTCGCCGGCGCAGGCGCAGGCGATCCAGAAGCAACGCGAGGCGTGTTGTTGATCTGGGCATTAGCCGGAGCACGCGCAGGAGTTGGCTGAGCGGCCGGCGCAGGCGCGGGCTTAGCCACCTTTGCCTCTTCCCAGACCTCGCCAACTGGCCTGGCGGGTGTGTTGGCCGCGGCCGTGGAAACAACCTCCAGTTTAGCGTTCGCTGCCCTGACCTGGTTGTCTCTCATGTTGATCTGCAGGGCTGACTTCTTCTGCGCGAGTGCCTGGCCTTCCTCCCTCGCTGTTGAAATCTTCGACTCGTATTCCGCCTTGAGCGTAGTCTCTGCTTTGGCCGAGTGCTCCTCAAGCTTCTTCTTAAGGTTCGCGGTAAAGATGCTCTTAGCAGTGTGGTTGGTTGCGAGAAGTTTCCGCACCTCGCCATCAGAAAGTGGAGCGTTTGCGGTCGGTGTGTTTGATGTCGGCTCGGGCTCTTGTTTCTTGACCGGTGTCGAGGCGATAGGCTGTTCCTGGGAGGGCGCGGCGGCAGGGTGTTCTGCCTGCCAGATAATCTTCTCCTGGTCGACTCTGGTCTGGAATTCCTGCTCCAATTTCTGCCTGTCTTGGCGCAGCCTATCATTCAGAGCGTTTTTCATCTTGTCGGATCGCTCCTTAAGCGTTTGATTCTGACTTTCCTCGATGGCCTTCATCTTGGCTTCGCATTCGGATGCCTTGGTCTCATATTCGGAAGCCTTGGCCTCAGCCGCAACGATCTTGTCCTCTAGTGCCTTGCGCTCCTCGTCTGACAGGGTGTTGTGCACAGTCTGGGCGGCAACACCGCCAGGCTCAACAGACGCTTGCGATGCATCGGCGGTTTCGCTTTGTCGCTGAGCCAGCTCGCTGGCCTTCCTCTGCGCCTCGTCTCTGGCCGAGACGGCACTCTGCAGCTCGGAACGCAGGCTCTCGAGCTCTTGTGTGGCAGATTGCTTCTGCGCTGTCATGTTTTCGAGCTCATTGCGCAGATTCGCCAGGTTCTGCTCCAACTGCGCAACCACATCTGCGGAGGCGGAGCCCGACGGGTCGGTGTTCGCTGCTGACGGCTGAGTGGGTGTCGATTGGCTCGCCTGGGCCTCCAGCTGTAGACGCTGAACTTGTTGCTGGAACGACGAAATCTGCTGTTCATACTGAGACTTCTGTGACGATGAAGCCTCGAGCTCTTGCTGGATCCGTTGCACTTCGTTGTTCGCTGCGTTCAGCTGTTCCTGGAGCTGTCGCACCTGCTCATCCTGTGTGCTCGAAGCGCCCAGCTCATTCTTGACCTGCTCAAGTTCGGACTTGACAGCATCCAGTTGAGCCTGGATGCTGTTCCTCTCTGCGATCGCCTCATTCTTGTCACCCGAGAGCTTCTTTGATCGCTCCTTGAACTGCTCCGTGAGTTTCTGGCGTGTGTTCTGCCAGTTGCTCCGCTCTCCATCCAGAGCCTTTTGGATCTCATCCAGCTGTGACCGCAGGGGAGCTTCGGCCTCCTTGAGAGCATCGCGTTCGGCCTCAAGGTCGGTGACCGTCTGCTTGAGCTGATCCATCTCGGCGGGGTCGACACGGCCGTATTTGGTGAACATACCCTCGGTGCGCTTTTGCCAACGGTCGCGGTCCTCCTGGATCTGCTTGATCTCTTCCTCGAGGAAGCCCTTCTGCGTTTCAATCTCCTCAATCTTGGCCTCCAACGGTTGGACCTTGCCTTCAAGCTCCTCAATCTTGGCGTTCTTCTCGGCAATCTGGGCTCTGGACTGCGTGAGCTCATTGCGTAGAGTGGCGCTGCTTTCGCGGTAAAGGTTGAGCTCGTTGATCTTCTCCATAAGGTCTTTGTGAGCGAGGGAACTCTGGCCGCTCTCGGCTGCGGTTCGGCGTTCCTGGTCAAGCTTGAGACGTGTCTCTTCCAATTGTGACTGTGAGTAGGTGAGCTGCTGCTGCAGCCTCTTCGATTCTTGCACCTTGAGGTCGTACTGGACTTCGAGAATGTCCTTCTCGCGCTGCAGGTACGAGTTGAGTTCACGCAGGCCGTCGATGGCGTTGTCGGAAGACCCTCCTCCCTCGGAAGAGTCCGCATTGTCGATGGTCGATGTCCGGTTCTGCTTGAGCGCGGAAAACTGTGCAGTAACACTCTCAAGCTGTTGATGTAGGAGCTTGTTCTGCGCGTTGGCGTCATCACGACGAGCCTTGAGTTCGGCAATCTCCTGCTCCAGGTGCTGTCGCCTGTCTTCCCATGAGCCTTGAGACTGCGCAAGGGTGACCTTGGCCGATTCGGCTTCGGCCCTCAGAGTTGCTGTTTGACTCTTGAGCTGGTTGTACTCGGCGCGCAGCTGCTGCGCTTGCTGCGCGGCCTCGGCGTGCTTCATCAGCTCATGCTCATAGTCTCTCTGAATTCCGGTCGTAATTTCTTGCTGGAGACGCATGTCGTCTCGATGATGCTTGGCAGCTTCCGAATGGCGCTCAGCGGTCGCCTTGAGCCTCTCGAGTTCTTCCTCGAGAATCTTCTTCTCGTCCTCGAACTTGCGAGCCACCTCGCCTTGTGCGTCTCTGAGAGCCGAGAGCTCCTTGTTGGAGTTGGCCAGCTCAGTAGACACATCTTCAACACGCTGCTCAAGTTCCTTGATCTTCGCGTCCTTGGCCTGTAGAGTCGTCTCGATCTCGTGCTGGAACTGCTCCTGCGAATCAGTGAACTCGGACAACGCCTTCTCGTTCTCTTCGCTGAGGTTCTTGTATTGCTCGGCCTGCTCCTTTGCGTTCTCCAAGTGAGCACGGGCAAGCTCCAGGTCGCGCTTGAGATCGGCGACTTCGTTGATGAGCTCACGGACTTCACTCTCGTTGTCGTGGTCGGGTTGCGTCGTCTCGGCGGCGAAACTGCCGGGTCGGGGTGTCGGACGAGGTTGCAGACGACCGTACCGCTCCTCAGCGCTACGAAGCTCGATTGTCAATTCGTCCACTCGGGCCTGTAGATGATCGCGGCTCGTCTTTACGGCGACGTGCTCTTCGCGAATTTGGCTCAGGTTGCCAGAGAGCTCATCGATTCGCTTTTGTGCTTCCCTAGCGTCAAACTCCTTCCTCAGCTGCAGCTTCTTTCCCTCTTCAACCTCTTCGGACAGCTTCCGCTTCGTATCAGAGAGCTCGGACTCCAGGCTCTCGATCCTGGACTGAGACTTGCGGCGTGCTTCGGATTCGCTGATGTCGCGTTCGTTCTGAAGAGACTGGTGCGTGGCAAGGAGACCATTGAGTCGGGCCTTTTCCTGCACGAGGCTTTCGTTGTCCTGGTTGAGTCGGTCCTGAATATCCTTCCACAGCTTCTTTTCTGCCTTGAGGTTCGCCGTTTCGTTGCGCATGCTTTCGACGAGACCACGCGCCTCGATAAGTTCCTCCGCAACCTGCTGTGTGCGAATGTCCTGCTTGGCAGCGCCTTCGGAAAGCACCTGGGAACGCTTCTGCAGTTCTTTGTTATCGGTCTGGAGTGCCACAAAGTTGGAATGCAGCATCTCGTATCTCTCAGTAGCCAGGGTGAGCTGGCTGGAAATCTTGGCTACCTCTGCCTGCAGAGCGTTCTTCTCCCCGGACACCTTATCAACCTGGTCCCGAAGAGACTGTCTGACAGCCTCAGCATCATCGCGGTACGAGTCAAACTGAGCCTGAAGGTCTCGCAATGCCACCTGAGGTGACACACTATCACCCTGCTCATCCTCGATGCTAACAAGAGGGTGACGCTGTCCATCGTTGATGGGGCTGCCAAGAATCGAATCCAGCTCGCCGGAAACGTTCTTCTGTTGCAACAAGCGGCGGAACATGTCGCGCTCGGTCTTGAAACTTTCTGTCGTTGTGCGCAGGGACTGGCGTTCGTCCACGAGATTGGCGAGCTGCGTTTTGAGTTCGTCCACAAGTTTGCTGTCGTGGGCCGCCTGGTCCTTTGCCGCGCGAGCTTCTTCATTCTCCATCTTGTCGGCAAGGTCTCGGGTGACCCGAAGTAGTTCCTGGTTCTTCTCCTGCAGCTCCTGAATGTCCCTGAATACAACAAACTTTTGGGTGATGAATTGATTGGTATCGGACATATCCGACAGCGCGTTCTCGGTGACCTCGCCTCGAGAGAGCTGTTCGAGCCTGAGGGTTTCCTCTCGGGTAAGCTGCTCAAGACCCTTCTCGCGGGCGTGCATGTTGAACACAAGCATCTGGATCTGGGTGCTGAGGTCGCGGAGCTGGTTGCGGAGGATCTGGGCCTCCGCCTTGGTGGTAGAGAGGGCGCTCTCAGCCTTGCGAGCTGACTTCTTGGCGGCATCGCGCTCCTCGTAGCTCTGTTCTGACAGCTGTGACATCTTGGTGATCTCGGCCCTCAAAGCATCGGTTTCGGCTTGAAGTTCCTCGATTTCGGGAGTCTTGGCTTCTAGAACCGCAATCATGTTGTCGAGTTCTTCTGCCAATTGCTGGTTCCGTCGTTTCTCGCCGGCGAGCTGTCCCTTCACCTTGTACAGCTCCTCGATCGCCTGCGTGGCCGTGATGGCAGTCCTGCTGCGGACAGAGCCCGGGGTCGCGAAAGGCGACGCGGCTCGGACAGCGAGGGAACCGTTGGGGCGTGGAGTGGAAGGGGCGGAGGGAGCCGATGCAGGCTGGGGTACTTGTTCCATGCGCACCTGTAGTTCGTCAATCTCTCCCTCGAGTTGACCAACGCGTTCTTCGAGGATACGACAGTTCTCCTTCTCCTGCTCGAGCTGCTGCTGAAGGCGCTTGATATCATTGACGTGCTTCTGGTTGAGGCTTTCGCGCTCGCCCTCGAGCTGCTGAACGCGCGTCTTGTGGTTGTTCGTCAGCTGGTTGGCCATATCGACGAGGCGTTGTTTGCTCTCCAGCTCATGCTTGTAGCTCTCTTCCGTGCGTGCGAAAGCTTCCTGTTGTTGCTGCAGCTTGGTGAGGGCCTCTTCGGCCTTGGCCTGCGCAGCATCAAGACGATCACGCAGTTGCTGTTCGCTTCGTTTGAGGGCTTCGGTCTCGGACTTGGCATCTTCGTTCTGACGCTGCAGTTCAGCGATACGCGCTCCCTTTTCCTTGCGGTACTTCAAAGCCTCCTCGCTCTTCGTCTTGAGTTCATTTTCAAACCACTCGCTGTTGCGCCGGGCGAGATCGAGTTGTTGCTGAACAGAGTCCTCGCGGTACTTGGCGCTGCTTGCGGCTGCCTGAGCGGCTTGGAGCGAAGTCTGGAGGGATGTGATTTCCTTGTTGAGCTGAACGTTTTTCTGGTGCTGCTTGGCGAGCTCGTCGGACAGCTCAGAATCGCGCGCATTGCGTGATTCTAGGAGTGCCATGTTAGCCCTGTTCGAAGACTGCAGGGATTCGATGCGATCGCGCAAGGTCGTGATCTCGGAGTCGTGGTCGGATCCCCTTGACTTGAGGGATTGCAGCTCGTTTTCGACATTTTGGCGTTTCGTCTCTGGGGAGCACAAGGTTAGTCTGTGCGACGGCGCAGCCGCCAGCGGACTGAAAACAATAGACGCGCACCTTCTTCGTGGAGTTTCTGGCGTATCTCCTCGACGTCCTTTAGCGCTTTGTCGGCGGTCGCTTTGGCGTTTCGGCATCTCTCTTCGGCGTTGCGGTGGGCGCTCTCCAACTCGACCTCGAGCATGAGCTTGGCATTGTATACTTCATCAGACTCATCCGCCTTGGCAACCAGGGCTTGAAGGAAGGATGCGACGAGCTCCGGCGTTGGATCGGTGGTGATGGTGTTCACAGCAGATTCAGCAAGGCCCAGGTGGCCAGCTATCCTGCCGGTGTCTACAGCAGCTGCTGCCATTTCTTCGCGCTACTTATTGGAAGGAGCCGTCATGAGGGTCGCGACTGCGTTGAGCCTAGGGGGAGATGGAGACGGTGAAGAGAAAGATTGTTCGTGTTTGTCGCGTCTCGGGCAGCACCCCGCGGTGTTGATGAAAGCCCGATTCAGCTGGCGCAGGATTGGGTCTTCGAACAAAGAAAAGGGGGCGGGCAGGTCGATCAATGAAATGTCGCCACCTTCTCTCTGCGTTGAGAGGAGTTGGTAATGGGAAGGGGGGCCGAGGTCGTGGTAGGTTGAAAGAAGCTCGACGAGGCTTCAACAGGTGGTTGTTTTCCTACCAAGGATCGCGAGGCTGCAGGGGAAGGCAGAAGAAGCTGCAGCTTGGACAGGCAGGTTACCACGGAGGAAAGCGACCAATGGGAGGGGCTATGGGGCCAGAGCTGGCAGAGCTTCGTCTACCGATGTTCTGCCGGGAGACGTTGATGTGGTGGGTCTCGGGATGCATTACATAACACGATATTGTGGAGAACAGGGGAGATAGATGGCTTAGGTAAGTCCTCCATATCAGCCAGTATGGCCGTGGGACGCTCTGTTCTGGATGTAAGTTGTGTATCCTTCATGCCTCCATCGCTTCTGCCAGAGAGGATTCTATGTGATCTGTGGTTTCAGATTGCAAAATTTAAAGGTATAAAAGGAGTGTGTCAAAACAAGCTTGAATGCTGGGACTGAGACACCATCCTCTAGGTCGGTATGGCAAGACAGGAAGCTGTCCCTTTGGTTGTCATCTACCGAGGGGGCAGGAGGACTCATTTTTGAGGTATCAATCATACCTGCCTGCTTCCCTGGGCTTCTCTTGCCGTCAAACGTCAGATGAGGCACGCGACTCCATATCTCTGCAATGGCTTCTTCAATAGCATATTCCTGTCTTCCCCCATGTTTGCTCTTTAATTCCTTCATCCGTGTTACTTCACTCATCGTGATTGTTTTCCTAACAATCTGAAGCGCATGGCCCGTGGCAAGTTGTGACAACCCGCAGTATGCCTTGCGCTGGTAGCGCTTTTGGCCCGAGTCAAACGAGATGTCCTGCCCAGACACTTTCTGATGCCCCAACACCGATTGCAACATACTTCTCCCACCAGCATTGAGCAACAAGCGAGGCATTCTCCGAAGCAGCCTGGGATCGGCATCAGCTTCCGGTCAGGTGCAGCTTTGTGGAGATAAGCTACCCCTCCCACCCTTTCAGCTCTGAATCCTGCAACGGACCCAAACCCAGCATTCTGTGCGAGCAGTACTCTCCGCCACCGCGAACAGCATACTTATGGCCTCACATACTGATGCTGCACCCATGCTAGCCCGTCAGCCCTGAGGGGCTCTTCGCCCGTTGATCATGATCGGCCAACCAGAATAGCCAACGCCCAGAGATAGTCTGCACGGCCGGGTCTCCACAGTTCCTATTGCCAGCAAGTATCGTCCACAACCCTGGTGGGCCCATTACTGAGGACGCGCTGTGGTGATTGAAGCTCACGCGGGTCACACAGACGAGGCACCTTGGACTTGATTCAAAGCGGCAACGGGTGAGCGTTGAGCGACTGCAAATCTGTCCCAATGTGATGCCAACACATCCAACTCCACACCTCTAGCACAGCCCGCCGGCATGAGCATACAGCTTCGCAGACACGGCAGCGAAGCGAGCAACCTTTGTGTTCACGGCGTGTTTTCGTAGGCCGTATTATCACGATTGTGGATGGCTTCGCCCCCAACATCACGTCCTCTCAAACCCTATGGCTGCATGCCAAATCTCCTGTCCAACGACTCTAGGCCACATCCCCGATGCGCGACGACGAGGCGAGCCAAGGTTGCGGCCAACGGATGCCATCCTGTGCAGCCCACCCCGTCATTTCTGATTCGAGGCGACCCTGGTTCCTGTGACAAACAAGACATCGTCGGATGGTGGCGCTGGCTGTGGCCTCGCTGGCGTTTTTAGCGGCGTCTCTCGTCCTCTTTTTCCCGCACAAACGGCGCCTCTTTACGCCGCCTGGGGCATAAGCAGACCGCCTTGACGGACCAGGGGTGCCATCACGGCTGACTTCCATTCGTCAGTTTTATATGAACCCATGAACCGAAAGAACGTGGAGGTCGGCGCATAGTGGGAGAGAAATCCATCAGGCCGCCATGAAGATGAGGCTCGCGGAGCTTCCTTTGGTTTTAGTACACTATTTTTCTTCCAAGACATCAAGTTCAATGTCTTCGACGTCTTGAACGACTGCTCCGGGACCTGCAGGAGACCGCCGCTCTTGCCCGTTTCACTGCAACTAAAATTGAACGCCCAGAGAAAAACCGGCTGTCGTGGAGCCAAGCATATCAGCAAAGGAGATCATCCGGGACCCTTATGACCCGCGAGCCTAACACGCCCATCCTTCCAACCCCATCCCCGCCCTATCCCCACCAGGAAGAAGGTCCTGATTCTGGACACCGAAGGTAAATAGCCTGCAGCCAGGCCTGCAGCTCTAGCTGCAAGTTCATCATAAGGTGTGCAGGCAGTGCTCTCGCAGGGCTCGGATCTGCCTCATGACGGCCACCCCATTGGTGCGGTGCCGGGGTAGTCTGTTGATTACCCTCCGAGGCACACCCCGTCAAGTTACCAGGGACCAGGGACCGCAAGGCTGCCAGCTGGTCCGAGGTCGCGGGCCCTGGCCTGGCTTCCAGTCTTGTCGTTGGCCGTGATGGCTTTGGTCGCTGATCCCCCGGGTCTCGCACAGGACTTGCAGGTGAAGGCGCCTCGCGTGGCGTATATATAAACAAGAACCTTCTTCTCAAAGATGTTTGGCCCCCAGTGGCGCCATCAACGTTGGTTGCTTCCATCTCCAGACCATACATCCGCTTTCTAGGCATCGCGAGAGCCTCCATCATAAACCAGCTTAAGGCTGAGCAATACCTACCCTTTTACACAGAGACAGCTCTCCCCAGCAAAGGGAAATCGCCCACCATGCGTCTCTCTCTCACAACCCTTCTCCTCCTGCCCCTCGCCCAGGCGACCTCACTCTCGTACCCCGAACGCCAGGCCCCGGCCGTCAAGTCCTCCAAGACCGTTCTCTCCCTGGCCGTCCCCCTTCCTCACCTCTCCTCGCGTTCCGCCAATACAGCTCGCGACCCGGTGCCTCACCCACTGCTGAACCTCCTCGACACGCGCCAAGACGGCTGCGGCCTCCGCGGCGTCGAGTGTGACTCCCAGTGGTGCGCCCCCTTTTCCGGCATCTGCTGCGGCTGGGGAAACGGCAGCTACTGCGATATTGGCACCTCTTGCGACTCGGGTGGCTGCTGCCCGCTCGGCAAGATCTGTACCGGTGACCCCTCGGGCTGCACCGAGGGCCAGGAGCCATGCGGCGACAACCAGTGCATGCCTGAGGGTGCTGTGTGCTGCGGCAACGGCGGCCACTGCGCCGCCGGCGAAACGTGCACCAGTGACGGCAGGTGCTCGACCGGCGGCGGAGGCGGAGGAGGTGGTGGTGGCGGTGGTGGCGGCGGCGGCGGTGGTGATGATGGATGCCCCGTTGGACAAGAGGAGTGCGGATCCCTCTGGTGCATGCCCGTCGGATCAAACTGCTGCTCGCCCGGCAAGTACTGCGATGCCGGTCTCACCTGCGCAGGTGACGGCTTCTGCTCCGGAGGCAGCTCCGGCGGTGGTGGTGGTGGCGGCGGCGGTGGCGGCGGCGGCGGCGGTAGCGATGATGGGTGTCCCTCGGGCAAGGAGACGTGCGGTGACCGTTGCATGCCGGAGGGTTCCGTCTGCTGCTCAACCGATGGCTACTACTGCGATGCCGGTGCGACCTGCCGACAGGACGGCTCCTCATGGCGATGCCCCATCGGCGGCGGCGGCGGCGGCGGCGGCGGCAGTGGAGACAACTCAGACGACGACACGACCACGTCGCCCGATCCCACGCCCACACCATCCTTTTCACCCCCGAGCGGTGACGACGACGACGACACCGATCTCCCCACCCCCGTCGCCGTGCCGACCACGTCGTCTCCGCGCGCCTTGGACTCCCCTACCACAACGGAGGCCCCGGTGGCGACAGGAGCATCGGGCTCGGGTAACACCGCCTCAGACGCCGTGCATCGCAGCATCAGCGGCCTCGTCTTCGTGGCCGCTCTCCTCTTTGGCGTGGCGCTGACTCTCTGAATAGGAGGCGGCCGTTGCTATACGAGAGACGAAGTTTCGCAAGGAGAGAAAAAACAGATTGATGGTCCACAGGCAACGGCTACTTGCGCGAAGGATTGTAATTACACAGAGCCTTTTTTGATAATAACGTATGCTGCATAGTGAGGAATATACCCCCCAACCCAAAAACCCCGCCCGCTACTACTATTCGATACAAAAACTGTGTGCGCGCGCCCCCTCTAGTTCAGATCGATGCTCGTAGGGAAATGAAGAGGGGACAATAAGAGGCACGCTTTTGTGGTTGTGTTCGTGCGTTTGCTCCCCGGCCATCCGAAACGCCATGCTTGTATCCATCCCGAAAAGGGGAAAAAAAAACCCCGAAAACCAAAGTAAAAAAAAACGCTTTCCGTCCAAATCATCAAATGTACGTAAACTCGATGAGCCGGGTTGGCTTCACGTCCCCGGAGGAGCAGGAATAGAGAAAATGGTGGTTGAAAGTGGTTGGGGTCAGAGACACTTTGTCCTCATCCACTCAATGTTCCGCAGGCCGAGGTTGAGGCCGACGCGCGCCCACCAGCGGCGGACCTTTTCCTGGTCGCCAATGCTGTCCTCGAGGGCCTCCTCAATGTCGCAGGTGCGGTACTCGACGCGGTGGCGGCGGCCGTCCATGGCGTCGAGCTCGCCGTGGGCGAAGCGGCGCCACCACTCGAGCACGTCGACGTGCTGGTGGATGGTGGGCTGGATGAGGACCTCGGCGTCAAAGACGAGCTTATCGTCCCCCTTGAGCTGGCGCCAGAGCTCGAGGACGTCGACCTGGCCCCAGCGGCTCGCCATCTTGGCGACGCTGTCGCCGTGGGCGACGGGGATGCCGGACGCGACCCACCAGCGGAGGACGGCGGCCTGGCCGTGCTGCGCCGCCCAGAGGAGCGACTTGCCGGGCCGCAGCACGATGCGGTCGTCCTGGGCGGCGGCGTCGCGCCACCACTCGAGCACGAGCAGGTGGCCCTTGCCGGATGCCTGCTCGAGGGCGGCCTCGGTGAAGACGAGGGGCAGGCCCGAGCGGCGCCACCACCAGTCGAGGACGCGGACGAAGCCGTTCTTAGAGGCGCCGTCCAGCGCTTCGGCGTCGTAGAGGTCCGAGGCATCGGTGCGGGGGGCGCGGGCGGCGCCGTGGTGGAAAAAGTGCGACTGCTTCCAGTAGTCGAGCACGTCGGGGCGGCCGTAGTAGGCCGAGGCTTTGGTCGGCAGGACCTTGCCGTCGAAGGCCTTGAAGAGGTCGGGGCGGTTCGCCTCCATCCAGGCGAGGACGTCGATGAGGGAGAAGCGGATGATGAGCTTGATGACGAGGGCCGGCAGGTCGTGGAGGGCGGGGGGCGACTGCAGCAGCTTCTTGCAGATGGCGGGGCTGTTGCAGGTCAGGACGAGCCACTCGAGCTCGTGGGCGTAGACCTGGATGGGGTCACGGGGGTCTTTGGGCGTCAGGGCCCAGGGGTGCGGCATGACGGCGTTGGTGTAGACGCCGAGGGCCTGGGCGAGCTCCCAGTCCTGCGTAAAGTCGAGGATGATGGTCCAGATTTCGGGGGGTAGCTTGGCGTGGATGGGGCGATTGGGGGAGGCCGTGAGGGTGCCGGAGAGGTGCGAGACGACGTCCACGTCACGGCCGAGACCCATAAGGTCGGCCTGGTTTTTGATGATGCTGAGGATGTCGTTGAAGGCGGACCAGTTGACGATGCGCTTCGGGGTCTTGGGGTTGTCGTCGTAGTGCCAGAGGATGGGCGGCATGGGCCGCAGCCAATGCCACTTGCGGTGGATCTTGCTCATCTGGCGTTTTGTCACGGGGTTCTCCCACATGTGGGTGCTCATGCCGGGCACGAGCAGGATCTTCTTGGCCGCGTCCCAGCCGCGCAGGACCTCGAGGAGCAGGGTGTCGGCGATGCCAGCCATCATCTTGGCGAGGTTGTCGGCGTCGATGGGCACGAGGACCATGAGGTCGGCCCACTCGACCAAGCCGAAAGCCTGTTGACGGTAGAACTCGATGTCGTCCATTTCTGATCTCGATTCCGCGTCGGTGCCGGCGCCGGCGACGAGGGGGGCGACCATGGGTCGGTTCTGCATGACGATGATGGTCTGGCTGAGGCGGGGGATGACGTCGTCGACGATGGCGCGCATCTCAATGCCGGGGTTCTTGGAGAGACGGACGACGAGGGCGCTCGCCCATGAGGTGTCTCGGGGGCCCGTCGCGGCCACGAGCAGCCGCAGCTTGCGGTCGCGGGGCTTGAAGTGGAGGGACGAGGAGGAGCTGTTGCTCCTCCTCAGATGGAGTAGCATGTTGTCGGAGGGATCCATCGGGACATTGGGGCGGATGGAGTGAGATTCGATCGTCGAGATGGACTGCAAGAGACTGTGAGAGAGAGGGACTGCAAGAGACTGTGAGAGAGAGGCTGGACTGCTCTGGCCGACGTAGTATCGTGGCGGGGTATCGCAGCAGGTCGAGGCGGTCTGGCGATGGTGGAGGGGCAGTCTCGCAGTCTCGGGATGGGTCAACGAGCAATCGTCGGGCAGAGATCGGGCGGGCGGGCGGGCGGATGGGCTATATGACAGAATGATGGAGAGCAACCGCAGGTCGAAAGAGAGGCTATATGTCGGGTGGTCGGAGAGGCGAGTCGAGTCGGTGTGGAATGGGAGGTGAATCGAAGACAAGAGGAAGGGTAGGTGTGCATGCAGTTGGATGTACAGAGTTGCCGTCGCATTCGAAGATACGGACTCGGCAGGCAGTCGACCCGGTTGATAAGGCACCGCCAGTCAGGCGACTTCCAGGCGACCTCTGGGCGACCTCCAGGCGACCTCGCTGGGCTTTACACCGTCATGATGATGGGGGGTTTTTTCTAGCCCCCGCCACTGGTGTTAGGTAAGCAACTGTCTAGCATCTCTGGCGGTTCATACATCTTACATCCTTCCAAGACCACGAGGAAACGGAAGAGAAAAAAGCATGTTGTCGTGGGAAAAGACTAGGAAGCGTAGTTGGTACATTCTCTTTCCTGAATTGCATCCCCGTCACTGATTGCATCCCCATCACTGGAACACCCCGACAAGGAGTCCCTCTGCCGTCCTTCGTCCATTGCATATGAATCACCGCAATGGTCATTGGCCGAGGGTCTGCCTTCCAGCCTTGCCCTGCCAGCTGTGCCCTGCCAGCCGTGCGACCGCTGTAGATAAGCTCCTTCTAGCGCCCCGTGCGCCGGAAAATCTCTCGACGGCGACCCACAAGACCCCTGTGGGGCCCTCAAGGTCCGCGTCCTCGTCCTACCAGGTAAGGCACCTTACCTACCTTACCCTACTACCTACCGTACCTGGGTAGGCGGGCAGGTAGATCCAGCAGCTGATCATCTCTGTGTGGATTCATCAGACGGCCAAGTCGTGCCATCGCACGTCGTGCAAGGCCATCGCAGATTGACATCCCATCACCCTTCTGGAAGCTCGGCCACGAAACATCATGTGTTCAAAAATGACACGGTCCATGACCATCGGGTTCCACGATCACCACCCTTGCCGTGCCTGCTGATCCTCTCCGACAGCACCCGATAGTTCGAAGCATCACCACCATCCCAACAAGGGCACCCTCATCCGTCCCGCCGCATTCTCCGCCACCGACGTCGGCCCGCTAGACGACGGCCCCGGCACCGTGCCATTCGAGCTCGGCCGCGGCGTTGTGAACCCCGTCGTCTCCGACCCTGACGTGCCTCCAGGCGTGGATGCCTCGGGCGCACTCGTCGTCACCGGCACAGACGCCGTCGTCGTGTCTGGCGCCGAGCCGCCGCCTTCGTCTCCCGTCGTCGTCGACGCGCACGGCCCCGACAGCGCCTCCACCTGGAAAGCAGTCGTGCAGCCCGCCCCGGCGCACGCCTCCTCCCCGCCGCAGGGCCAGTTGAGGTAGACCGTCGCGACGGGCGTCGGGCAGCCGCAGACCTGCGTCACCGTCGAGAACTCGATGCACGCCGGGACCACGCAGGTCGAGCAGAGGAGGCCCGTTTCCGTGACGGCAGGGCAGCCGGACTGCGGCGTGACCGTGGGCAGCACGCCTGGAAAAGGCGGGCCGGTTGTTGTCGTCGACGGCGGCTCCTGGGCCACGGCCATGCTGCTGCGGTGTCAGACCGGGAGATCCATGCTTGTTTTACGGCAAAGACGGCAAAAAGAAAACGTACAGTGAGAGCATGGTTGCCATGAAAAAAGCTGACTGCATCATGATGAGCCAAGGCGGCGTCTCGAGGAGGGTCGGGCTCCCAATGCTGAGATCTTGGAGCCGCGCCGAACCGAACGGTCTAGGACGTTGTTCTTCCTTTAAAGGCGCCGGACCAGCAATGCCTCCAAGACAAGTAGTGGCTGCATCGTATTCCCGAAAGCATGCGAGGCGCCATGACGCGTTAGCAGCTCATTCCCCCGCACGAAGCTATCGTACGCTTCCAGGCTAGCCAATCCTTCGACGCCAAGCCTCGGGTGGTCCTCTTTGGTCAGCATCTCACGATTGGCCTAAGAAGAAAGAACTTGTGATTCTTGAGCATTACCTGACGGAACGCAAAATTTAGGTTCGATATCGGATTGCATCGGTTTTGCAACGTGTGGCTGCATCTGGGCCCTCGTGATATCAATATATCAGTCAACCACATGAAGTAATCCAGTAGCTGGCCTTGAGCTAGGGTATTCCCAGATTGAATTGTCTTGTTAATGTGCCAGTGTCCAGGCTTTTGGCCCCGTATGATAGTCAACGACAGCGTGACGTTCATGTTGTTGGTATCGATAGGCTGGATATTCGACGAGGAACTAACTATATCAGACATCTTTGCTCTAGGATCGCTGTCGTATCAGCCGTCTTGTCTGGTGATATGGAAACTTCATCGTCACGATCTCATGGACTCATACGTATAAAGGGTTGACCTGAATGCACCGTAAGATGGTGATCTCTTCACTGCTACTCCCCCGTGGCCGTGATCATCATGCGCTCAGCCCGCTCCGCCTGCATCTGAAACTGAATCTGCTGAACGAGCTCCAGAATCCGCTGCTGCTCGCGCGCGGCCTCCATCATGGTCCTCTCCTGCCGGACCGACTCGAGAATGGCCTTCTGGTCCCGCAGCATGCCCGCCATCTTCTGCTGCTCGACCTGCAGCGCGGCAATCGTCCGGCCCGCCCGCCGCATCTCGACGCGATGGCGAAAGTCGACCTCGCGCGTGACGCGGTCGCAGGCGCGACGCAGCTCCGCCAGCTTGACGTCCAGCTTGGGACGAAACGTGTGGATCATGGCCAGCTTGGCCGTGGCGCGCGACAGCACGAACTCGTAGCACATGATGCTCATGCTGAACATGACGCGGTACACCTGGCTCGTCAGGCGGAAGAGCGTCTCCCCCGGGTTGAGCGCGAGCTCGCGGCGGCAGAGGTCGGCGGCGTCGGCGACCTCGGACAGCGTGGCGTCGACCTCGCCGTAGACGTTCTGCGGACGTGTCAGCTGTGAACATGGCGTTGCCTGCTACAGGGGGGAAAAAAAAGAAAAAAGAGCAAGAGGCAACACGAACCATGCTCATGCTCAGCATAAAGTCCATACTGCCCATTGCCGTTGCTGCCACATCGGACCCGGACCTGGCCAGAGGGCCGAGCGACTTGGAGAAGACAGACAGGACCGGTCGTGACTTGGCGGCACGTGTCGAGGGCTGCTTGTCGTTGAGGATCGTCAGGGCCGCTTCTGGATTTCGTATGGCGTCCAGAATCTCCACCTGCTTCGGGCTCGCTGTCTGGGCCACGGCGCGGAATGCAGCCTCGATGGCATGTGCTTGGCTGGAGAGGTCAGCCGCAGGTCTGGCAGAAAGATGAATGCACTGACGTGTAAGAAGCCTCAGCACTTGGCGACTCGTCGTTCGCCTGCACAGTTGGTGCCGTGCCCGGCTCCGAGACGGTGCCTCCTGGCCGTACCACCAAGCCATCCGTGCTGCCGTTCGTGGGCGCTTCTGCGCCTCCGCTCGAGCTAGGCTGCTGCTCTTCCGACAGGAACGGATCCTCTGCAAAATGCATGCCCAGATCCTCCACGCGGGTCGTGTTGCGGATGCCGGCACTGCGCGCACAGTCCAGCAGCATGGCGATGCCCGAGCCGAGCGCCTTTTGATACTGGCCAAACGTCTGGAACAGCTTCTGCCGCTCCTTCTCGTCGTCCCTCAGCCTCTGGCTCATGTCCTGAATGTCGGCGCCCATGGGCTGCAGCTGGTCCCGGAGCAGAATCGTATTGCGCCTGGCCAGTTCTCAGCGCGCGGCATCGTCAGGGACCGGGGGGGACCCGGGGGGAGGGGGCACACGACAACATACCCGATCGACGTCGTCATGGCGTGGGCGAGGAGGTCCCGCCAGATCAGCAGCTTGCCCGTGTTCTTCGCCATCGACTCCCGGCCAAAGACGAACGCGGCCCCCTTGCGCAGCCGCGTGAACCGCGACGTGACGTCGCCCGTCTGGTAGGTCTCCATGCTCGAGAGCTGCAGCCCGAACGCGAGCTCGCAGTCCTTCAGCACGGCCGTCAGCGTCCGCAGCTGCAGGCCGTCGGCCCGCGCAAACGACGACTTCTCGTGGGCCGCGGCATACTCCTGGACGTCGTGCAGCGTGGTCCGCGTCGCCTCGAGGGCCTCGAGATACTCCCCGACCTCGGCCGGCGCGTCCTGGACGGCCCGGAAGAACTGGTAGACCTTCCAGCTGAGGCTCAGCGCCGTCGTGGTCAGGTCGAAAACGGAACAGACCTCCATCGGGCCTGTCGCTGTCGATGCGAAAGCGCCGGACTTCGGGAATGGCGCGCAGATTGGCCCATCCCAGACGAAAGCATCATTGTTTTTAAGAAGAAACCCCCCGAGGCCTCCGCGCGAGGGGCGGGGCGTGCCAGCGTTCAGCTGTGCCGGACGTGGCGATCGCTTCGGATCCGATTGGCCTGCCGACGCGGGAGCGGGCACAGCGACAAATAGTCTGCGATCTAGGCTCGAGGGAGGCTGACGCTGTGCATGCGTAGTCGGCGAGGCACGTCATGTGCACGCTGTGGGCGTCTTCCGGTGAGCGATTGTAGTCAAGGCGGGTGATTCGGCTGAAATGCGAGATCTGGGGGTAGGGAAGGGGGGGGGGGGGGGGGGGGGGGCAACAGTCTACGGATGTGGGGAACTCGTCTCTTGACGTCTACAGTATGGCGACTGACGAGGCTCGGTACCATTTGGATAGTCTCTTGGATTAGTTTGACGGATTCTCACTTTTCCATCAACTAGACTGAGTAGGATTGCAGTGACGGCCACGACCAGCTGAAGGTGAACTCATCCAGGACATGGTACATCTCATCTTCCGGGTCGTCAATCGCTTAAGGCCGATACACTCCCTGACTGCCAAACAGGAAGACTACACGCAAAAGGCACAGCACACCGTCACAGCCAAGCAACTGCACATAACTCGTGATTCATTCATACAAAAACCATCTATCGTACAGCCACCCTAAACACGGCTACACACGCAGGTGCTCGCCGCTCGAATCGGCCTTCTCCGCTGAGGGCTCGCTGCCGTCGAGCTGGCCCTCGGCAGCCTGCCACGTCTTGCTCTTCCAGGGCACGACACCCTCGACGTACATGGTGTCGACCTCCTCGAGGGAGCGGCCCTGGGACTCGACGACGAAGAAGTAGGTGATGATGGCGCCGGCGCCGCAGCAGGCGGCAAAGACGTAGCCGTACTTGTAATGGATGGCGTCGGTGATGAAGGGCGTGAAGAAGGAGATGAGGAAGTTCCAGAGCCAGTTGGAGGCGGTGCAGAGGGCCATGCTGCGGGCGCGGTAGCGCGAGGGGAACATCTCGCCGACGATGGCCCAGACGAGGGGGCCCCAGGTGGTGGCGAAGCCGAAGATGAAGAGGCAGGCAAAGGCGATCATGGCGCCGCCGGCGCCCGAGTTGGTGCGGGCGTTGGCGTCGCCCGGGTTGTTGTCGGGGTAGAGGGCGAAGGAGCCGAGCGAGGCGAAGACGAGGAAGCAGCCGAACATCCAGGCGCCGCCGACGATGAGGGCGGGGCGGCGGCCGAAGCGCTGGCCGATCCAGAGGCCGACAATGGTCGAGGCAAAGTTGACGGCGCCGAGGATCATGGATGTGACGTACGAGTTGCTGAGGCCGACGGCGGCGAAGATCTGGGTGCCGTAGTAGAAGAAAAAGTTGGCGCCCGTGAGCTGCTGCAGGGCCTGCAGGGCCATGCCGAGGAGGGTGCGGCGCATCATGGCGGGGCCCGTGAAGACTTCGTGCCAGGCCTGCTCGGCGTGCTCGGCGGCGAGCTGCTTGCGGATGTCGCTAATCTCGTGCTGGACGGTGGGGTGGGTGCGATCGACGCCGGAGAGGAGGGCCAGCGTCGTCTCGGCCTCGTCGGTGCGGCCGTGGCGGAAGTCCCAGCGCGGCGACTCGCGCAGCGTCAGGACGCCGAGACCCATGATGGCCGGGGCGATGAAGCCGCAGCCCATGGTGATGCGCCACGAGGCGGCGCCCGAGATGGACTCGGTGCCGTAGTTGATGCAGTAGGCGGTGAAGATGCCGAGGGTGATGAAGAGCTGGTAGGCGCTGACGAGCATGCCGCGGACCTGGCGCGGCGACGTCTCGGACTGGTACATGGGCGTCAGCACGGAGAGGGCGCCGATGCCGAGGCCGCCGACGAGACGGGCCAGGGGCACCTGGTACCAGGTCGTGCGGGCGGTGATGGCGACGATGTTGCCGACGATGTAGATGACGTTCCAGAAGGTGATGCTGTACTTGCGGCCGTACTTGTCGGCGATGGGCGCGCTGACGAGGGCGCCGATGAGGCAGCCGGCGCAGAGGAAGGCGACCATGCAGCCGGTGCGAACCTTGCCGAGGGCCTCGCCGTGCTCGCCGAAGCGGCTGATAAAGTCGTTCATCTGGAGGTAGCCGGAAATGGCGCCGCCCTCGTAGCCAAAGATGAAGCCACCCATGGAGACGAGGAGGCCCATGATGAGGACGCGAAAGTTGACGGCGTGGACGGGCGGTGCCTCCTTCATGGCGTCGTGGTGCGAGTCCGGCATGGTGGTGGCACTCGGTTTACGGCTTTCGAATTGATCCATTAGCTGTAGGAGGTTGTTTGACCTTGTCGAGATAGATGTGTGTGTGATGATAGTACTCCAGCCAAGAAATGTGTGGCCTGAAGTAAAGTACTGTTGGGTTGGTGTGAGTAGTATATGATGTAGAGTGAGCTCCGAAGAGACGATGGGAAACAAGAGGAAGATCTCACGACAAGCGAACAAGACAGCGGAACAATGGCCTTTTACGCATCCCCAGATGGTCCCCAGTTCTTTCCCCCTCCTTCTCCTGCTTACCCATACGGCTGGCTTGCTTGTGTCCCTACTAAAAACCACACCACCTCGGCGCTCGTATGGAGTCCGCTCTACTCACTGTAGACGTCATGTACGGGCAAGTCCGTTCACGATAGCGGCGAACCCGTTCTTGCCGCGGCGCTCGACCACCCCCAGAAAGTCTCACCCAGTCAGGTGCACTCGGTGTTCGCTCTTGAAGGGGAGGCAGTGGACTTTGCGTTCCCCGCCGCCTCGGCCGGTCTCGTCGGTGCGTGGCTGGCTGCTAGGGGGAGCAGCATGAGGGGAAGGGGGGGAGAAGTCGAGGGTCTCGCGTTGTCGAGAAGATCGGGCGTTCCCCGTTTCCGTCTGGTCCCGTTCGATCGCCGAATTGTCGGAGCTTAGAGAATGCGTGGAGCCTTGCGTATGGGTGGGCCGGCCTATGTGGTATTGCCAGACCTCTTTGCTGTCATGTTCCTTGCGTGGTGTTCGTACGATGGCCATCATTGAGGATCCTCATGTCGTCCATCCTCTGTCATGCATCCTGTCATTCTCCTGCCGTTCATCATGATATCAAAGGCCGGTGCAGGCAATCCACCAAAGGCCATGCCACCATGTCACCTTTGAAACGGCGCTGCAAGATGGCATGGTCATCGATCGGACCTAAGCGCAGGTTTAAACATCGGCATCACATAAACCCAAAAAGAAGGCCGATTTACCATACTGACGCCAACCTGCAACCGGCGGCCGCCAGCTCGAGGGGGCCCCGGCGCAAACTCAATTCGGTCCGTCTGTCGGCGTTCGGCAGCGTGGAGCCTTTCGACCTTAGTCATGCGCTTCATCGGGACAGAAAGCAGCCTGCTCTATTCCCGCTTTCGGCCGGCCGATGAGAGCCCATTCTGATGGCTCTCGGGCAGCGAACCTTGGCACAGATCGGACCATGGGTGATGGCGTGACATGGGGCGGCTCTGGCCGCGAGGGCCATCTCGTGCTTTTGACACAACAGCATCGTGACGGCCACTGTGGCACGGCAGCATCTTCCTCATGCCGTCCAGCGCTCGCCATCGTCGCCGTCTCGAGTCGTTCCTCCATGCCATTGCCTGGGGGTCCCGTGATCTGAGAAGTCCCCCACGGAACCTCGATGACCAAGGCAGAGAGACTGACGTGGGCTGTTTCTCGTCAGCGTCCTCGAGTCAGCCAGCGCCAGACCTTTGCCTGACCTGCCTGACGGACTGGGTTCCCACTATAGCTGCCCAGGTTCCGTGCACCAAGGCACTAGCAGCACGCCGGCGCGTCCAGTGCAGTAGCGAGCAGCAGCGGCCAGATCCAGCGGGACGCGGCCCAGGCAAGCCAGGCCAGCCAGGCCAGCCAGCCTCAGCGGTCCATTTGCAGTGGCCGTCGACGATTCGCAGTGGCGGAGCAGTGCAGTGCCATTTTCGGTGGGCAGCGGAGCATCTGCAGGCATTCGCAATTTGCCGTGGCAGCGGAGCCTTGGCAATGTGCAGGGCATTTGCAGGGCGTTTGCGGTGGAGCAGGTGGTGCAGGGCATTGCAGTGGGGCAGGTGCAGAGCATTGCAGTGGGGCAGGTGCAGAGCATTGCAGTGCGGCGGCAGGTGCAGTGGAGCCACGACTGCCGGACCTCTGACATCATGCCGAAGAGCCTCACTGCCCCCCCTGCTTCCCGTCCTGTCGCTCTGCCGCTGCCTCCTCTGGCTGCCGCTGCCTCCTCTGGCTGCCGCCGCCCGTGGCGTGCAAGATGGACAGGGCAAGAGCAGATCTACGACCAGGCCTGCGTCCGCCACCATGATCCGACAGACCCCCTTTCCAAGACTTCCAAAATGCCGTCTCTATTCGGGTCCGAAAAAAAAAAAGCACATCGTCCGACCTCTCTGTCGCTGTCCGTCCACGCCAGCCAGCCTGGACCCTGCAGGAGATCGATTAGCCCTTCCATGACGACCCTGGCTCGAGGCACTCTGCCGGCACCCACATCGTGCAGAAGGACCGCCCTGCCTGCACACCACCTCATCGCACCTGAGCACCTGAGCACCCATCACGTACGTTCCTCCGCCCCTCCCGGCCGCAGAGAGTCGCCCCGAGCGAGCCCGGAGCTCCATGCCCCCGATATTTCCTACCCACAAGTCACCCGTCGCAGAGAGAGAGACGCCGAAGGAGAACCGCGAGTCGGAACGAGAAAACCAGAAGAGAGAGAGAAAAAAAAAAGAAAAAAAAAGAAGAAAAAAACTCGCATCATCGTGACCCTGTCGAGCCGTGCGGACCGAGTGAAATTTCCGATGCGATAGGCCGGGAATAACCCAATCATTCTGTTGAAGGGAGGAAAGTCGGCGAAATGAGCCCAGTCATCGACAAGGACTGGACAACCGAGAACGTCAAGACATCAGAGACAAACACGTGTAAAACCATCTGAGAAGGGGTATCGTCCATTGCTACACATCCATACCATAATTACACAGCTTCGACGCCGAGGGACGCAGCATCTCCGTCTTGCTCTCGCTCGGCCGTCGCCAGCAATACCACACAACTCGATACGCCCGTGCGGATACGCAGAAAATGACAACACCGGCTGGCAGCAGAGCTCACGTCACGCGTCCGCCAGACAGAGGGGCCAGCCCCATCCACCCCCTTTCCTGCCCCAACCCAAGTGTCGATGCACAAATCCGTCGATGCACAAATGAATCGGTGCACAAAGTAAACAGGAACCTTGTGCCGCCCCCCCCCGAAAACAGGCGAGACGAGGAGCACAAGTCAAGAGCCGGTCCATATCAGAGATCATGAACGCAGGGGCGGTGTCTGAAAGTCCGTAATCGAATCCAGCATGGCCAGGTTCCTCTCCTTCATGTCGCGGTCCATGCTGTCAATCTGTCGCGCGTGCACTCTAGCTTTTTGCAACTGCTCAACACAACGTCAGCATGAATCCTTCACAGCGCGTCCGCTGAGCCGCACGCGAGGGGCGTTCGCACCATGGCCAGAGCCGCCGAGGAGTGGTCTTCGTCCTCACCTTCCTCGTCCGTCTTGCCGTCCGCGTCACCCGGCGCGTCGGCGTACCGGCTCGCCGCGAGTCCCTTGGGCTTGGTAGCGTTGGCCTGTCGTGCCGTTAGCCGCGTTCCGAGCCGCGTTCCGTTCCCCGCGGGACACCACCGTCCTCGTCACAACCACCACATACCTTGACTTCGGCAATCTCCGCATCCTTGACCTTGAGCTGCGCCTCGAGCTCCTCGACGGCCTTTTGCTTCTCCAGCGCCGCCGTCTTGAGCTCCTCCAGCTGCGCCTCGTAGGCCTTGCTCTGTGCGTGCGCCTCGTCCGCCACCTTGGTGAGGCTGTCGTGCATCTCCTCGTAGTCGACCTTGCTCGTCTTGTCGCGGGCCTCCGCCTCGAGACGAGTGGCCTCGAGATCCTTCTGTGCCGTCAGGACGTCCGCCTCGAGACCCTGCATCTTTTGCTCGGCCGCCACGAGGCTGGCCTGCATCACCTGGAGCTCCTTTTCGAGGCTCGCCTTGGTCGCCTGCAGCGACGTGAGCTCGGACGTATCGGCCTTCTGGTTCTTGGCGTCGTCGAGCGCGGCGACGGCCTCGAACCGCGCCATCTTCTCCGTCGCCAACTGCTGGCCCAGCTCGCCGTTTTCCTCCTCGACCTGAGACTTCTCGGCCTCGAGACGCGCAAGGTTGTCCTCGGCGACCTCGAGAGCAGTCTGCAGCTCGGCGAGTGCTAGCTTCTGTTGCGCGAGTGCCTCGGTCAGAGAGGTGCCCTTGGTCTCGTGCTCCTTGGTCAGGTCGGCAACGGCCTTGGCGTGCGCCGCCTTGAGGTCCTCGAGCTGGCTCTGCGCACCGGCGGCGCCCTCCGACTTGAGCGCCTCGAGCTGCTCGGCGTGTACCATGATGAGCTTCTCCACCTCGCCCGAGTGCGTCGTCTCGAGGTCCTTCTTCGCCGCCTCGAGGGCTGCCGCGCTCGCCGCCTCAGCGGCCTTGACCTGGGCCAGAGCCTCCTCGAGCTGCTTCTTCAGACCGTCAACCTCGGCCGCATGCGCTGTGTCGTCATTCTGCTTGGCCGCGGCCAGCTCACTCTCGTGGCTGGCGATGAGCTGCTGCTTGTCGCTCGCGCTGCTCGACTCGATGCCCTTGAGGATCTCGTTGTGCGACGCCTTGAGCGCCTCAATCTCCTTGGCAAGGGAAGCCTCGCCCTGAGCCTTCAATGTCTCCAGCTGTTCAGCATGGCTGTCCTTGAGCGACTGCAGCTCCGTGAGGTGCGTGTCCTTGTCTGCACTGGCTCCGTTCTTCGCGACCTCGAGCTCCTCCGCGTGGCTGGCCCGGAGAGCATCCAGCGCCTGCTTGTGTTCGGCCTCTTTCGCCTCAAGTGCGGCAACGGCAGCAGCGTGCTCCGCCTTCGCCGCCTCGACAGCCTTGGCATGGCTAGACTCAGAATCGCCGTGCGTCTGCGTCAGCTCGCCGTGTGACGCCTCGAGCTCCTTGTACTTGATCTCGAGGGCAGTGAACTGGCGTTTGAAGTGCGCGTCGCCCTTGAGACTCTCAATCTCCGCCTCGTAGTCCTGTGAGACCTGGTGAAGCTGATCCTCGTGCCTCGCGACAATGGCCTTCTGGTCGGCCTTGACTTTGGCAAGTGCCTCCTCCTTGGCGCTGTTCTCCTCGACTAGGGTGCTGATTTGCTTTTGCAGCGCCTCGGCCTCCTCTCGAGCCTTGGCGGCATCAGCCTTGGCAGCCTCGAGTTGCGCCTCAACACCAGCAACGCTGGCCTGCAGGGTC